TTCGATCTTCTCTCTCTCTCTCTCTCTCTCTCTCTCTCTCGATCTATATCTGTCTATCTAGGGATCTATTTATATATAGATAATTAGATATAGAGTGTTTGTGTGTGCATGTGTGTTTGCTACTGTTGCCAATCACCATAATGCCTTGCTTTCGCTAAGTAGCGCGGTGTTATCAAGCACAATCGAAGATAGACGCTTCGTTCTTGCAAGTTTGTGAAGACGACGCTCTGAGCTTTTCTTCTTTTTTTCTCTGTTTTCCAGCTGTAAATGAAACCTTGGTTTTGCGTGTAGCATTATCTTTTTTGTTGGCCTTAATTTTTTTTGCGTACACCTTGTGGGCGGGTGGCAGGTGCTCTGCTCTTTTTTATTGCAAACAGCTATCGTCCTTATCTCTCCTTCTTTTTTGTGTGTTTGTTACTCTCCTGAATCACATATCAACGTCGGCACTTTTATGACCTACTTGTGTTGCAAGTGCAGTAAAACTCTTAATTAAACAGAAGTGACCAATTTTTAGGCAGAATGCTCACTCTGTCGTTTCCAGAAAACAGCATGCCGATGGAGATTGTCCACGAGGAAACGACCGGAGAGGTGGAAGACAGCACTTGCTACCTGTTTCAAGTGAGTAGATTTAAGTCATTATTGTAGGGATAAAGGTGACACAGTCCTAAGAGCAGAAAATGAAAAACACCTACAGGATCTATTACATGTCATCGTACAAGAATGACAACATGGGCCTAAGCCTAAAAACATCACGAAAACTGAAACAATGGTGATAAGCTGAAAAATTCCAACCCCAGCCTACAATATCAAAATCAACGGTACCACCCTCAAGCCAGTACAACATTTTAAATATTTGGGGACCATTATATCATTACATGGGAGATGTCACACTGCAATTGAAACCCGCATTTGCCAAGCAAAAGCAACCTTCCACAAAATGAAACATACCTACAAACATCAATCTGTCACTGGAAACAAGAAAGGGAGTACTGAAAAGTTACACGGGTGCAAAGCATGAACAATCAATAGACATCTGGAAAGAACAATTGAGGCCTCAAAGTTGTGGTTAACAAGACGCATACTGCGTATCCCGTGGACACCTAGAAAAACAAATGAAGAAGTTTTGGTTGAAACAAATTGCAGACGACAGCTATAGAGAAATATACTAAAGCGACAGGCAAAGTTTATTGGACACACATTGTTGAAAGAAGCATTGGAGAATATTGTAACAACAGGCAAGTTTGATGGAAAAAGAGGTAGAGGCAGACAGAGAGAAAGGATACTGGACAAGTTGACAACACGGGTGGGAACAGCAATAACAACAGACACCATCGCTGCAACGCAAGACAGAGTGAAGCTGAGGTCCATGATCGCGTACGCCAGTCGGCAAGGCACCGGGTGATGATGAAAGATGATGTTCCTGACAATAATATTATCTTTCTCTTTTTCTCCCTCCCCCCCCCCCCCCAACCCCATCGTTCTCTTTTTCGTCTTTTTGCCACCATGTCCCCCTTTTCTCCGCCCCCTACTCCTTTCTCATCTCTGTCTTTCTGTCACTCACTCACTCTATAACTGCCTGCCACCCATTTCCTTTTTTCTGCTTGCTTGCCTGCCTGCTGATTTTTGGAGGGCCTTTTCTGTTGTTTCAGTCTGTTTGTCTTGATTCTTTCGTGCACAATAAAACTTATAATAATGTCAATGTGTCTCTTTATACTCAAATGTTTAATCGGATTTAGAGTTTTCATTGGTCATTGTATAGATTAAATGCCCCTTTAAAAGCGGGACGATCATGGCTCTTCGCTCACTCCTATATTCAATCACCCTAAGACATTTTGCAATTTGATGACAATCCCAACGACAAAGAATATTTTATGAACTGTTTATTGTGAAACTCAGGAATACGCCATATACATTTAAAAAAAGTGACATACAGTAATATGACGGAGACTTTCACTTAGCAGTCGATGTCTCAGACGTTATCATTGTTCTTGAGACATACAACAAGATCATTAGAAACTTACCCTCAGAAACACTCACACTCCTACTACATATATACAACGACATGTGGCGGTCGCACTCCTTTCCGGAGTCTTGGCGTCTCGCCACTGTCATTCCAATACCCAAACCAAACAAAGACCACACACACCCATCCAATTACAGACCTATAGCCCTAACGAGCTGTCTCTGCAAAATGATTGAAAAAATGATTCACAGGCGACTCATGTGGTTTCTGGAAACGACGGGCTCGCTGAGCGGTCACCAGTGCGGATTCAGGAAAACTCGATCCACTCTGGATCACCTGGTCCGCCTGGAGACCTTTATACGCGAGACGTTCGCTGAAAGAGGCCACATGATCGCCATCTTTTTTTACCTAGAAAAAGCCTTCGACACAACCTGGAAGTACGGCATTCTTCGAGACCTGCATGCACTCGGCAAACGCGGTCACCTCCCTGCCTTCATTGGCAACTTCCTGAAGAACCGTTCCTTCCAGCTTCGTGTCGGATCCTCCCTTTCAGACCCCCACCAACAGGAGGAAGGAGTTCCCCAGAGGAGATTCCTTTCTCTTCTCCTATTTGAAATTAAAATAAATTCCATAGGGAAAACCCTCCAAAACAGCATAGACAGTTCGTTATACGTTGACGACTTTTTGATATGCTGCCGTTCGAAAAATCCTCATTTGAGATCTATGGAAAGGCAGCTACAAACGCAGCTACAAACGCAGCTGCACAAACTTGAAACGTGGGCAAACAATAACGGTTTCAAGTTCTCCCCGTCAAAGAAGAAGACGGTTGCAGTACACTTGTGCCGAACAGGCAGACGTGTGCTGCAGCCGGATTTGACACTTTACGGGGAAAGGATTCCCGTCCAGGACCAAGCTCGTTTCTTCGGCGTCATTTTCCACAAAAAACTCACATTCATACCACACATCAAAGACCTTCGTGTGAGGTGCCAGAAAGCATCAAACGCTTTGAAAATTCTATCGAATCCGGAGTGGGGCGGCGACTCAAAACACCTTCTCCACTTGTACATCTCCCTTGTCCGGTCCAGGCTTGACTACGGCTGTCAAGTCTATGGATCGGCAAAACCACACATCTTAAAAATGCTAGACCCAATACAGAACCAAGGACTCCGCCTCGCTCTGGGGGCTTTCCGCACTTCTCCGGTGGAGAGCCTCCAGGCCGAGGCCAACATACCACCACTCTCACTCAGACGCACACAACTCTCACTACAATACGCAGTTAAACAGAGCTCAACACCGGAAAATCCAGCGCACGACTGCATTTTTAAAACAAACCCAGAAACCATAAACAAATTCCAAAACAACGAAAAACTCATCAAACCCTTCGGCCTCAGAATCCTTGAGGACCTGAAAAACTTACACTTTTCCAAACAAGACATCCAACAAATTCTTTTCCCCGACCTCCCTCCGTGGCACCTCACCAAGGCAAAAGTAGATTTACAGCTGAGCACACACAACAAACAAAGCACACACACCAAAACTTTTAAAGCAGAATACAAAAAACTAATAGATAAATACCCCGGTACGGAGCTCATCTTCACAGATGGCTCCAAAAAGACAATGAAGTGGGCACCGGAGCCCTATCTTCCAACAGTACACACCAGAGAAGACTCCATCCTGAAGCCTCCATTTTCTCTGCGGAGGCCACTGCCATTGACATGGCACTGGACTCCGTAGAAAATTCTCCTAACAAATCTTTCCTTATCCTTTCTGACTCTCTGTCTTGCATCACCTCACTCACAAACTACACACTCCTACATCCAAAAATAGTTAGGCTACAACAGAAAATTCATACACTATCCGAAACAGGAAAAAACATCATGTTCGCATGGATACCTAGCCATGTGGGCATCCTAGGAAACGACGAGGTAGACGACCTGGCGAAGACAGCTTCATCCCTTCTGCTGGGATCAACGACAAACACTCTCCCACAGACTGACTTTAGAAATAAAGTCAAAAAGTACACCTCCAGTCTGTGGGAGAGCCACTGGGAAAAGCAGAAAAACAATAAAATATATGAAATAAAATCCAAACTGGAACAGCGAAATCCTTCGGACCTCTCCAGAAGAGACGAAGTCATTTTTACTCGATTGCGCATCGGACACACAGCCTTGACCCACAAATACCTCATACAAGGAGATGAGAAGCCGTTCTGTGTCGGATGCGACACAGATTTTACCATTAGACACATCTTAACCGAATGTCTGGACTTTGGAGAGATCCAAAGGAAATATTATAAATGCAAGAAATTGCAAGACATTTTTTCCGTCGTTGTTCCCCGCAGAATTTTGAATTTTATAAAGGCCATTGGCCTTTATGGCGAGTTGTAGAGTGAAATTGATACAATTTAAATTTTTTATGTTAACTAGAAAAAATTGTTTTAGATTTTAAAAAATTATATATATCTACACAGATTTTTTATAACATTTTAACATTTTAAAGGCTAAAAGCTAACCAACCGTGCAGTGGACTTTTGCGAAAGTAAACAACTTGTGTTTCGCGCGCTCATATGACCTTAGCAGTTGCGAGCGCCGTAAAACCCTATACTACTACTACTACTACTGGTGATGATACTTTGTAGGTGCTACGGAGCAAGAGTTGATCGGAACCCGCTCTTGACTTGCTGAAAAAAAATATAACGAAAATTGAGTCGTTTTAAAAAGTTTTTTGTTTATTTATTTGTTTGTTTGTTTTGTTTTTGTTTTGTTTAGTATAATGTTTGTTCGTGTTTCACTAAGGGGCAATAATGTTTGAGCAAAACGAAAAGGAAATAATAGCTGGGTTTTTGTTTTGTTTTTGTTTTGTTTTTGGTCTCGAGTCCTGATTTGGTACCGATATTCGAAAATTACGCCAAAATATGTTTAGTTGATAGAAATAATTATTGTTGTACTTCTAGAAAAATGAAACAAGAAAGAGGACAATTCTTTGGTCTGTGATGATGATGATGATGATGATGATGATGATGATGATGATGATGATGATGATGATGATGATGATGATGATGATGATGATGATGATGATGATGTATGACTTCATAGAATTGTTTTAGCAAAAGTTTCTATTTTCTCTGATTCAAGGGTGAGCCCTGCAGCTTATTGTTCGAAAGCAGCAGTAACATCTTTATATCTGGAGGGGATCTGCCCACCAAACCGCGGCCCTTATTTGGTATAAAACCTAAAACTAACATGTTCGTAACCAAATTGCTCAAAAGGTTTTTAAAAATGGACTAATTTTGATAGTTTTTCATCTGACGAAAGAGCTTCCACTAAAAGAGACCTCTTTTCGGCAATTACCAAAAAAATCAATACGGCGTTGAAGACGTCAAAGTCGTCAAAATCGAATGTACCTGAGCCACTTCACCAACAAAGCGGTTAAAATTTCTGACTGTGAGCCGATGGGAGCAGCTTGTCGGAAATGAGTTAATCAAAGTGAAATGCGTAGATAGGTTTATCAGCAAGCTTTCTAATCTTTCACAATTTTAACGGTATAGATTCTAGTGCGGTTAGAAATTGGTGGCGCAACTTAAAATCTCGTTCAGGCCCCGCGTCCACTGCGCTTTTTTGTCACTTGCAGGCCAAGCTCACATGCAAATGAACTTGTTTTTGTCAGTCATTGACTGCCTTTGCCTGACTACGCGATTTTCCTGCACGCACGCTTTTTCGTCAGTCGTACAGGGGACTAAGAACGCCTCGATTCGACTCATTTTGGAATGAAATTTGCATCTTTAAGTACATTCTTGCTTCTTCATTGTACTTAACATGATCAATGAAATTGTATCTCATTATAATATGTTGTACAATAGCAGATTTGTGCTGAAAAACAGCACCAAAAAAAAAAAAAAAAAAATTAAAGCACTTGACCTAGATCTAGGTCTAGATCAGGGGCGGCTCGTGGGGCTAAAAAGTGGACGTGCACAATAATAATTAAGCTATCGAATGCTGAAGATAGTCAAGAGCATAGTAAATGAGACGGTGTATAATTTTAGGATCTTTGGGTTGGTAAGGGAGGGCCTCGTGCTTTTATTTTCATTCTTTTTACTTGTCGCTTTAATTTATAGTACTAAATTTGTTTGTCAGCTAAACATCAATTTTGTTCATCGTGTATTGGAACTGAACACTGAAGTACAAGTAATTACTTTCACTACTCCACTACAAAACCATTCAAAGGCACAACTCATAGGACGAACACGTTCACGTCCCTCAGGTTCACGGATACAGAGTCACTTAAAATAGTGGCAAGACAAGCAATGAACCAATCACAATTCACTTGAGCATTCCGCTAGATTGCTCCGGGGTTCACATAATATTGGCAAAGAATAGTGTAGGGTCTATCGTGTTTATTTTTAGACTGCCTACTGTGGGCTATGTTTCGACACTATTCGGCAGGAGCACATTTGAGATGTGCCGGCTTAATAATATTAATGTACCGCCAAACTCGCTACGAGTGGCGTCATCGCTTGGGTTGTCCCAAATAGCGATTTATAGGTCAGGTTACACTGTTGAATATCCTTTTCTGTTTAGCTAAAGCGCGTGGACTTTGGCATGGCATAGTAGATCTAGATGTTTTAGGGCCCTATAGGCATAGAAATGACAGTTATGACGCCCGTGATGACCTTTGTTTTGATATAATATTTGGCTAGTGTTTGTTTCTGGCTTCTTTTATTTTATTATTGTGGGTGTTTTACGTTTGAGAACATAAACAAAAATGTGGGCGGCACTGCACGACCGTGCTCTATGGAAGAACTGCGCCTGGTCTAGATCATTATTTCGTTCTCGGGAGAGCTAAAAATAGGCCAGGTTAGACCTTTTACTCATCGTCCCAACTCACAAACAATTTTCCCCATAGCTATAATTTATTGCTTTTTAAAAAAAAGTTGTAAATAAATAAATCAATCGCCTGTGCTGTCTGTTGTTCTCGTAATCATAACACACTGGGCTAAAAATAGGTTTAGCTGGTCTTACTGGGTCTTACTCTTACTCTGTCTTGGGTCTGACGTCGGTGGACGCGGATCTTTTTGAGTCGCTTCTACACCATGAAAAAACCACCTTGGCCTGGACGTGATCTTATTTTGGTGGACGCTTAGACTAACGGGTAAAACAATGTCATTCATACTTTGCTCAGCAGTTTGTATCAATTTGTCTAAACTTAATAATATTTTTCCGCATCAATTAAGGCTAGATTAAAAAAAATTTCTTCATAAATTATATAGAACTAGTAATAAAACTACCGATTCTACGAACGGAATAATAATAAAGAATTTTTAGAAAAGTTAAGAAGAGGAAAAAGACTGAAAACAGGAAAGAAACAAAACACAAATATTTTACCTTGAATTTATCCATGTAGCACCCCCTCTTGACTACCTCTAGGGGTAAGTCTTCTTCTCTCTCTTCGAAGGCGTGGCATTTTCTCCTAAAGTTCCAGCTCAATCACTTTTGAAAAAAAAAGTTAGGCCTACATGGCAATTGTTGCTTCCTAGAAGAACCCTAATCTAGATTCTAGATCAAAATATCACAGATCTAGATTCTACTTTCATTTCGGGATTCTTCTTGATCTCCATCGATACATTAAGTAGGCCTACGGTAGGCTCGACTACTCTTTGCGCTTCCGACGACACCCTCCCTGTCACTCTCGCCACCTTCTCTCTGTTAGTGCTTTCTGGCCTCCTCCTCCTCCTCTCTCTCTCTCTCTCTCTCTCTCTCTCTCTCTCTCTCTCCCTCTCTCTCTCTCTCTCTCTCTCTCCCTCCCTCTCTCTCCCTCTCTCTCTCTCTTTCTCTCTCTCTCTCTCTCTCCCTCCCTCTCTCTCCCCCTCTCTCTCTCTCTCTCTCTCTCTCTCTCTGACTCTCTCTCCCTCCCTCTCTCTCCCTCCCCCTCTCCCAAGGTAGGGTAACAAACGTAAAAGTCACCACTTTGTAAAATGTATTACTACTTGATTCTTTTTCTCCTTCTCTTTCTTCTTGTTCTCCCCCTCCTCCTCCTCCTCTAATTCCTCCTGCTCCTCCTCCTCCTCCTCCTGCTCCTCCTGCTCCTCCTGCTCCTGCTCCTCCTCCTCCTCCTGCTTCTTCTTCTTCTTCTTCTTCTTCTTCTTCTTCTTCTTCTTCTTCTTCTACACCTACACCACCTCCTCTTCCTCTTCCTCCTCCTCCTAAAGGTGTGAGACCGAAACCCGGAATTCCCGTAAACTTACTTTATACTGAACACAAAATACCCTTTGTCGCAGTCGGCACTCCGCAGTGAATATACAATGTCGAAGCAAATGATGGCGATCGCAACAAAAGGTCTGAATTTAACTTAAACTGGGCTTTCTTCTTTCACATTTGATCTGAATGAAAATACAACAGTGCAACACTACGTTTCAAGTTATGGGTAGTGGCAAAGTTTCATATTTTTTGATTCGGTAGTTTTTGAGAATAACCTGTTCGCAAAATTTGGCCTTAGCTCCATTAGTAGTAAGATACTATAAATCTCAGTCTCGAAGTAAATGGGATTGTTCACAGCACTTCCAGCTTCTCACACACATTTGGCACACGCATAATAGCCTACGTCATATCTCGCCAATGGCACTTTTTAGTGGCAAAACCTGTTACAAGAAATACGTTTTAGAGTGATCACATTTTTAGCACTAAAGATTCTCAAAACATGCTTTTAATAAGCATAATGTCACGATAAAAAAATGACGGACTTGCTTTTAAAAGCGGTATTGCCTCAGCTGTAAACCTTTTAGAATCTGTAGAAACCACCCACTTGGATATTTTATTCGTTTTTTCTTAAGGAATGTTCTAGAATATAGCTAACAGGCGTCTAAAAAAATATGGAGTTGTTTAGACAAATTGATTCAAGTCATTGTGTAAAAGTTGGAGAGTCTGTGTTGATAATGATAAGAGTTAAAGAAATATTTAACAATAAGTTGGGTCAGGATTTTTTGACGCCCTATAAATGTTCACATCAGGTCAGAGCCACTGATGATGTCACAAAGAGGGTCCAGATGACTGTAACTCCCCCGAAAGGATACATTTTGGATTTCCGGACCAAGGTTATCAATGACTTTTGGGGCGTTCTCGACATAATGGATGAAGAACCTGTAAACATGACATCTAAAATACTCTACCCTGTTACAAAGGTCAGTTAAGTGCTTTCCCCCCCTTTCTTTCCTTTCCCAAAGCCCCTCCTCTGGCTCTCTCTCTCTCTCTCTCTCTCTCTCTCTCTCTCTCTCTCTCTTTTTTTTTTCTCTCTCTCGACCTTTCTCTCTTTCATCCCCTTTCTCTCTCTCTCTCTCGACCTCTCTCTCCCAATCCCCTTTCTCTTTTGCTCAGTCTCTCTCTCTCTCGCTCT